TATCAGACAACACAAACAAACAAAACAACAAACAATCAACAAAGAAACAGAATTAACAATATAAATAAACAAAAGGTCTGGGGATACACGGAAATTATTTGTATATCTTTATATACTTTATATACATGGTCCTGGGTTCGCGCCCAGCTGCCCCTCCCAGTCGCCTCTCAGTTGACTCAGTTGTATAGGGGATATAGACAACTTAGTCTAAACCCTAAAATAAGAAAGAAGAAGACAGCTGTGAATGAGCAATGGTATACTGACGTCAGCATACTGGGGTCAAATCGGGGCGGAAAGGAACTGGTCACCCTACCGCATCAACCCATGGCTTAGTAAGCATGTTTCTCTACAAAACATGTCCCTTACGTCCAGATGGATATGGGACCAACTTTGACTTGACTTATATAGACATTTTTAAACCGCCCTGTACTTCTTGTGGTTATTTCACGGGTGTTAGTGTGAAAATTGGTTGTCACCCTGTAGAGTTACAACTTAAACCCACCCGACGAGAAAAAATCGTCAGAGATGGCCCGGTGATCGCCCGGTAGCTCCCTATGACTTCAGTGTCCTCGCCGCAAGCATGTACCAACCGAATAGGTTCTCCTAGCAAGTCTCCAAAGTCCTGGATCTTGGTCTTCGTCCAGGAGACCTCTAGATCCAAGGGCTTCACTTCATTACTAAATGCATCCAGAGCCACCACTAAGGTTTCCATAGACTCAGATAGGACAGCAACATTATCAGTAAAGTCAAGGTCAGTAACCTTGATTTTGCCAAGAGTTGCTCCACAATGACTTTGAATAGTAGCTCTGCCCAGTATCCAGTCCATGTACTTTACAATACTTTCAGTCCCGGTATATAGGCTTGCTATTAGTTCAATAATCCTTGTTGGAATTCCCCTCAATCTCAGGATCTCCCAGAGGGATTCTCGATGCACCACATCGAACACCTTCTTGAGGTCGATGTAGGTTGCAAGCAGCCCACGCCTGAATTCATGACAGCGCTCTACAGTGACTCAAAGCGCAAGGATACAGTCTATTGTGGACTTACCAGAATTGCTCCAGCCTCTGATGCCTCAGTAGGTGGTCTCTTATACATCAAAGAAAGATTTGAGCGAGAACCTTGCCTGGTATACTGAGCAGTGTGATGCCTCGGTGATTGCTGCAGTCCCATCGGTCCCCCTTCCCTTCCAGAGAGGGATGAAAACAACCCTCAACAGGTCAGGAGGAACAGTACCGGACCGCCAGATAGCAGCCAGGACAGCATGTAACCCCCGCACCATAGGCTAACAACAGCATTCAATAGTTCAGCTGTTATGCCACAGATATCTGCTGCTTTACTACTCTTTAGCTTAGAGATCGCCCGCCTAACTTCAATAAGGGAGGGTGGATCCTCACTGATGGGTGGGTCTGGCATCAGAATTTCGGCATTACCTGCATCCAAGTTAACTGTTATAATAGTCGCCTACGTAAAATATTCACCAAAAAGATAATAATAAGGTCGATTTCTAAAAAATGGTTTTCACATATTATAGTAGAAAGATTATGCTATTCAGATATGAAATCAGAATGGCTGTATGTTTGATTTTTTTTTTTTTTTTTTTTTTAGATTTTTTTTTTTTTTTTTTTTTTTATTAATGGTCAATGTAGGCTTATAGACACTCCAAATCACTGCTACCCTACTACACTATGCATAAGATTTTGAGAAACTGTTACGTGCTGGCAATGTCCGCAAGACTTTGGAATGCAAGTAGATGATAAAGGATTATGCTGTAGGAAGACTAATCTTATACCTTGTTTTGTTAATACCAAATTATCATGAAAAGAGGAGAAAAACAAAAAAATGTCAATATCTCGGAACACCACTTTTGTTGTCTTCAAAAATTCAAGAAAATTCAATTCGAGTCCGAAGCAAATGTTTTATAGCTCATTTCATAGTTAAATGAAAAATCTGGTGAATGTTGGAAAAAGGCTTTGCAATTTTTTCTTATGTTTCTTGTAAAATTGACATACATGTAATATATATATATATATATATATATATATATATATATATATATATATATATATATATAAATCTTGATAGTCGGTTACTTCAAAATCGGAAAATGTTTTTCGAACATTCACTAGATTTAGGATGAATCTGTTCAAAAATCACACCAGAAAGCCTTTTTTCTAGATTTTAGAGCAGCATCATGTTCATCTCCATAAATGATATCATTTTCTCGACTATATCCAAGAAAGGCGAGTGTCAGGTCAGAGAGGATAGGAAAGACAGGAGGCATTGCTACAGAATCTGGCAGTCGAGGACGATCTCAGGGGCTGCGGAGTTGCTACTGTCAACGTGAGACGGGAATCGTTTTAAAAATAAGGCGTGTGGGTGTGATTGCAACCTATTGATTATCAATTAGAATTATAATAGGAACAAAATAACACAAACTTTGTACAGCAAATTCACTCTTCTTTAGATAGCAACCCACAAAATGTACAAAAGAAAAACAAAATATACATGGTGTCCTTTATTAAATGCCGTACAGTGTGAATCTACATCTTTAGAAAACGTTGGGGATGCAGGTTCTGCGGTGCCATCCCGCCCACAGGTCGCCTACCGTCCGTACGAGTAAGGGCGTGCGAAGGAGGCGCCGCCGAGTCCCAGTCCACCAGAACCCCCAAAGGAGCTCCCGCCGAAGCCCACAGAAGGACGCCCAAAGGAGGCGCTGCTGAATCCTACGGAAGGACGAGAAAAGCCAACAGAAGGCCGAGAGAATCCTCCGAACCCGACAGAGGGACGAGCAAAGGAGCTTCCTCCAAAGCTGACAGAAGGACGAGCAAAGGAGCCTCCCCCGAAACCGAAAGAAGGTTGAGCAAAGGAGCTCACTCCGAAGCCGACAGAAGGGCGTCCGCCGAACCCGCCGCCGAACCCGCCGCCGTAGCTTCTTCCAGCAGACGCGACATGCGCCATCGCCACCGCCAGCACCTGCGGGAGGAACACCCGTTTCCTTTAGCGACCTCCTCAGATACGCCTCTGGAGACGCTCAGAACATGCTTATAACATGGGCAGGAATACAAAGGATACTTATAACATTTTGATAAGAGGGATCCTTATAACATTTGATAAGAGGGATCCTTATACCCTGCACAAGGCAGGGCTATACTCACAACTGCGCGAAGACCAATCATGTTGCAAGAGTTGTTGCTATCCGCTTCGGAGAGAAACTGGCTTAGATCTTCGGCGCTTCTCTTTTATACAGATCCTGGCCGCTCCTTGCCCTTACAGCCGACATAAAAAAAAATGGTGGTAAAAGAAGGACAAACACCAAGTACTTGTACAGCGCAAGGACAGGAAAAATCGGAGAAACCAGTAAAAAAAAAAAAAAAAAAAAAAAACTTTATATTCGCTCTACCTCTTTTTTCTCATTCTCTTTATATATATATATATATATATATATATATATATATATATATATATATATATATATATAATATATATATATATATGTATATATGTATGTATATTATACAGCGCAAGGACAGGAAAAATCGGAGAAACTGCAGTAAAAAAATACTTTATATTCGATCTCCCTCTCTTTTCTCATTCTCTCTCTCTCTCTCTCTCTCTCTCTCTCTCTCTCTATATATATATATATATATATATATATATATATATATATATATATATATTATATATATATATATGTATTCTTCCTCTTTTTTTTTTATCTCAGGCAATAATTCACATGAAGCGGATGTATTTCTGCTCTATTGATATTACCAACTTCTGATACAAATAGACATATATATATATATTATATATATATATATAATATATATATATATATATATATATATACATACATATGTACATAAATGAATAAATAAATAAATATATATATATATATGTATGTATGTGTGTGTCTGTGTTAACGTGTGTGTGTGTGTGTGTGCGTGCATGTGTATATAAATATATATATATATATATATATATATATATATATATATATATATATATATATATATATATATATATATATATAAATATATATATATCTGTCTTATATGTATGTATATATATATATGTGTGTGTGTGTGTGTGTGTGTGTTGTGTGTGGTGTGTGTGTGTGTGTGTGTGTGTGTGTGTGTGTGTGTGTGTGTGTGTGTATGTATGTATGTATATGTATATATATGTATATGTATGTGCATACAAATATATATCGGTTTTGTTTTGTTTTGTTTTTTTCAAACTTCACGGTAAATAGATTCATTGTCCAATTTCTTTTTCACTTTGAAATTAACTTCATTCTTGACACTTTATCATCCCGTTACTGTTTCTTTGAATCCGTGATCTTTTGAGCGTGACTTGCAGATTCCAGATTTATGATTTGTTTTCCAGCTGATTCTCTTCATCCACTTGACTAGTGGCGTTTGTTCCTTTGTGCGCTCTTCTTATTTTCCTCCTTCGTCTTCTCTCTTTCCTTCCTCTTTTTCTTCTCCTTTCTCTTTCTCTCCTCTTTCTCTTTCTCAACTCTTCTTCTTTTTCTTCTTTCTCTTTCTCTTTTTCTTATTCTTCTTCTTTTCTTCTTTCTCTTTCTCTCTTCTTTTTTCTTTCTCTTTCTCTTTTCATCTTCTTTTTTCTCTTTCTCGCTTTTTTCTTCTTTCTCTTTCCCTCTTCTTCCACTTTCCTTTTTCTTTCTCCCTTCTTAGTCTTATTATTTTTTCTTTCTCTTTTTTATTCTTAATCTTTCTATTTCTCTTTCCTTTTTCTTTCTTTCTCTTTCCCTCTTCATCTTCCTTCCTTTTTTTCTTTCTCTTTCTCTCTTCTTTTTTCAGTCCTTCTCTTTTTTCCCATTCTTTTCTATCTCTTTTTTCTTTTTCTTGTTCTTTTTTCTTCTTCTTTTCTTCTCTCTCTTGCTCTCATCTTTTTCTTCTTTCCTTTTCTCTCTTTTTGTTCGTCTTTCTCTTTCTCTTTTGTTCATATTGCCGAAGATTGTGTTGCAGGCTAGATTATCTGTTAATCTAACTGTTTACTTATTTCTCTGCCTGTTTATCTATCATTTTATCTCTGTGTGTGTTTGTTTGTGTACACATACATACACATACACACACAACTTTTCCTCCAAGACCAGTGCTTGGAAGAAACAGGTAGACGATGACAGTGCAAGTTAGTGTACAGAACCGTTATCGTAAAGTTTGCCGTGAATATTAAGCTAGAAAATTATGTGTTACACCATCTAAGCAAGGTCACAATGCCAAAAAACGAAACACAATTATGATACTGTGGGAAGAAAAAATCATGATAAAGTCTGCAAAGGTAAATAGCGGAGTCTTAAACGTTAGCAACTACTAAACACAAATAAAGGAGAACGTAAGTAAAATAAAGTAAAATAAGGGAACGCAAAATTCAGAAATTAGATAGATGTTTACACACACACACACACACAAATACGCACGTGCATACATACATACATATATAAATACATATATGTATATTTGTATGTGAATTTATCTATATATACATACGCACGTGTGTACGTGTATGCATGCACACATGCGCTCGTGTGTAGAGGTGGGTTTAATAATCAGTATAAATAAAGAATACTGGTAGACAGCTAATACAGACACATACCCTCAGGCGGAGGTCATATCCGAAAGGGAGCGGCCTCCCCCCCCCCTCCCCCAGACAGCCCCTTAGCTAACTGGACAAGGCGTGCCCGGAGGCCGCACGCAGGCAAGCACGCGACTGGAGGCACAGCGAGCGAGCCAAACCGCTTTTTGCTCGAGTCGCGAGTCGGAAGGTGAGTGACTCCGCGCGAGACGAAGGGTGGAAAGGGAAGGAGGAAAAGCGGAAAAAAATAATAGACTAATAGAGAAAACATTTTTTTTTTTTTTTTAACGAAGATCATAGGCTAAAGTCAAGACCATTTTATAGACATAATTTTTTTTTTATCCGAACATAAGCTTGATCTTGCTTTAAGATTCTAAAAATTGTATTCATGATTGGTGGTTCTCCTTGGTTTGTGTCGGACGCGTGAATGATTTGTTTGAAAAAATAGTAAAAATAGATAAAAAACAGCTGAAGTTTCGGAAGCTCATGGAGAAAAGAGGGAAGACAGCGGGTGGAGAATAAGCGAGGGAGAGAGAGAGAGAGAGGGAAAGGGGCTGGAGAATGAGAAAGAGAGACATAGACAAAAAGGGGGTAGAGAATGAAATAGAGGAAGAGGGCGGGAGAGAGAAAAAATAAGGAGGGAGGGAAAGCGAGAAAGAGTAAAATATAATAATAAATAATTTAGTTTTATTCCATTTGTTACAATGGAATAGCCGGGTGGTGCGGGATCTGAACTCAGATCATCTAAGAGTGGCCAGATATGTTCAACGTCACGCCCTCCAACTGGCAGAAGTGACCCTCATTGGTCACCCCTGCTAGTTAGGGGGCGTGCTGACCTAGCCACGCCGTCTGCCCTCATGACCTCTGGCCGATATAAACATTCTGCTGTCCTCCTGAGGGCCACGACTGGGCCCAAGGTCTATATATAAGTACTTATATAGACCTTCGCGATTTTAAGGCCAATATGATAGCTTGGTAGGGGTAGCTTATCTAGACTGGTAGCTGCCACAACGCAGTTGAGTATTCCTGAACTTTGTCAATATTACTGTTTACGTTAAGTGTTGTGAAGGCTATCTCCAGAGGCAAGTTTTCAGTGTTCATTAACATGGATAATAGTATTTTCTTATTTTCGTTTAGCACACCTATGATAATGGTTATTAAATGAACTGTATTAAACTATACATATAGGAAGGCATAAGAGGTAAACCATTAATTATTCAAGAGATGTATATTAAATAATAGTTAGCGTACAACAGGAATTAGTACGTACACACAAAAAATAAAAATAAACAAAACACGCGACTGTACACTAATACTGTTCATAATACATTTCAATTACCGTTCACCGATGTTCACGCGTCATAGTTTTTCACGATTACGGTCGGGTCACTCACTGTTATCTTTACTCACGATCACGATTACTTAGGGTCGCAATTTATCACGATCACGGTCACCTGAGGTCGCTCACGGTCAATAAACGTGACACTGGCACTCACCAGCGCTCGCGTTACTCCGCTACACTAAGGGAAATGGTCAGCAGCGTACAATGGGATACATAACCTGAGAAAGTTGCTGTCCGTCTCGGCTCTCCTTTGTCTCTCGTCTCCCGCTACCTTCACTTGGGTCGGCACGGTAAACCTTACGCGGTTAAGCGTCGCGTACCATGGACCTCGCATTTGCTCGTTTGTTGTCCTTTAGTTCGGCTCTTCGGACTGGCTCGTGAAAGGTCGTCGTCGTCATTCATTGGTATGTCGGCTGCGTCCGAAGCGCACCGGAAACCAGGCACCAATCGCCCCGTGGCGGTCGAGTGCGGTCAAAAGCGGCGACCGAAAATACGTTCACTACACTTCAGCACGACACATGCATCTCCAGCGTCCGCCCGCGCTACGATCTTCAATAAACAGTGCGACAAGGCCACTAGCGTTCATATATTTTAGTGTCGTGATACCAAGTGACAATTCATTTTATTTTTAATCAGTTAATTAATGGAGGTTATTTATATTTCATAGTTGTAACTTCCATCTGACCTCACACATCCCTTTTACGACCGAATTTTGGCTTCACGTGACCTGTCTTTGTGACGTCTGCTTATGTGAATTCTGAAGTACAAAGTTGTTTTTTCTCTTCGTATATTTTTATGCAAATGATATGTCTTGTTTCAATTGTATTTTTCATTTCACAAAGAAACATCAAAATATATTATGTGCGCAACTGAAAAAAAAAATTCTTTTAATTGTGGTACAGGTAACACTTAGTTCAGATCAAATCAGGTCAGGTCATAACAAGTGATGACATTCCCTTTTTAGCTTGTTTGTTAAAATATATTGAAATGTTTTCCTTTATTCTCCTCTATATAACCTTGTAATATTGGTGTTACACTCATACATATATTCTGTTTCTTATTCATGTAATAATTTTTTAAGGTAAATTCTTTATTTCAATTCTAAGTGATTCGATTATTTAATCTTTCGGCCATTGTTCAGAGAGAGAGAGACTAAGAGAGAGTAAGAAAGAGAGAGAGACTAAGTGAGAGTAAGAAAAGAGAGAGAGAGGGAAGAGAGAGAGAGAGGGAGTTTGAGAGAGAGAGAGAGAGAGAGAGAGAGAGAGAGAGAGAGAGAGAGAGGAGAGAGAGAGAGAGAGA